GCATCCTGTGAGTGCTTGGTATTCACAATGGTTCCGAAAACATTAGTCAACATCCGGGTATTGATAACGATATTTAGTTTCCGAAGCATCCTTGACACTAAATCAACCAATAGACATATTGAATAGTAGTAAAATTAAAGACACCTAACCTGTTTACCAAACGGTGATCAAGGTTTTACTTTGAATTATTGTTCTATCTGGACGATGGCGGGGCTGACACCTGTTTTTGGTGTGTGTGACTGTAAAAGTAGCTGTTGGAGTAATTGTTTGCTAGGAGAATATGAACTCTCATTTTGATAATGTGAAGTAATTGTGATAATGTGAATTTTGAATAATAAATAATAATAATTTTGAATACAAAAACTTCTCAATAATTAACTTTCGAATTTGCAGGTGTGTATGGCGATAAATAGATTTATAACTAAGCGGTGAGATTGTATGGTCCGCAGTTTCTTTTAAATCAATTTCCGAAAATTCTAGTTTTCTCTTCGAGTAAATGTTGTTTTTTGCAATTGAAGGTATTTTGAGATATACAAATAAGAAATTAAATTTTTCTATCAGAAAATAATAAATATTTATTTCAAATAAATACCAATTTCTCACCTGAATTTTCATCATTTTATCAATATTATGCATTTCAACTTTTTATTAGAAGCCAATGTTTAGCAAGCAATAAACCTTGATTTTTAGAAGTGTTTTCCATTTCTAAAATATATATTTCCGACAAGAACAAACTGAAGCGTCGAAACAAAAAATGGGCGTTTGAAGATGAGAATCATTTTTTTCTACACCATTTGATTTTACTTTGAGTTAGGCTATTTCGCATCAAGTTCTAGTAGATATCAAATCATGTCGAGGGTATTCAGCACATATTTTGGAGATATTTTTACGATAATCTGTCACTAGTTAGATCACCAGGTAATTTTCAATATTTTTTAATAACAAATCGTTGATGCAGGAACATAAATTGAATGTATTTACAAAATATTTTCTCTATGCTCTGTATTTATCCCAAATGTTGAATTTGGTGTTATTTATTATTGTTTTGGTTATTAAAGCAACTAAAAGTCAAATAAGTCACAAGCGAAATTTCAATTGATTAATATTTTTAATAATTGAAATCGAAATATTTATTTATGTCCGGTTCTTCCAAATAAAAAAATATAAATGCATATTTCCATTAACGTATTCTACTGATGTGTTTCATACAAATATTTCAACGATCTCGTGTAGTGAGTTGATTTGGACGACTTTTAACAACGGAATGCAAGCGATATGTTTGAGGGGTCCATGGTATACTCCCATTTGAATAAGCCTAATATTATTATAGATCAATAAATCCCTAATTTTAATATTGAGCTGGTGAGCTACCGCCCTTGTGATCCATGTCGACGAGCAGAGTTGCAAGCCTCCGTACGAACGCAATCGATTGATTGCGCGTAGCATACCGGGCATTTTCACTTCATCCGGGATCAAATTCCTTGGCGCCATTCCCTGTCACCCTAGCACAGAAATGAAGAGCGTTGCCAGGCTATAACATACATTGCTACGTGTTAAACTCCTACACAAACAGCAAACTTGTAGTGCAAAAAATTCTAATGCAATGCCATTAATTCGTACCTCACTCATAAACTCATATATCATCACTTTTATGAAAGAAACTTTAAGCACGAGATGATTCTGGACACCTGAAAGGAATTGTGAAGTTGCTTCCAAATGTTTGTACAATCTTCGTGGCACCAATGCTAAATGTGGTCGCCTGAAAAACTGTTGTTGCTATTGTTGGTAGTGCTTGTGACGTTCACACGTGATTCAGATGACAAACAATCTTATTGGATGCTGATTGTAGAGGGTGCAACGTCTGCGATATTAAAGAACATTTAATGAATTTGAACAGTTGTGTATTTAGTGCGGATACTTCTTGATGTGCACTAAGTGATAATATTTAAAACATTTGCTAAGTTTTAGGGGCAATACAATGTGATAGTGTGTTATTTGAGCAAATATCAGATATTTATTGATAACAAAGGAACTGTTATGCTTAGCTATGTCTGTGATACATCAGGTTGTGGGTTCATTTGGAAAGGAATGTGTTATCGTTTCCTTTTTAAGAATCGTACGAAATTTATATGAGATTATTCGACTCATGTGGTTTACTATTTCCCTACCTGACCTATCATACTTCAATATCAACACGGCTTGGTAGCCATTCAAGATTCCACATTATTGAGAAAACTGCAACCATGACAGAAAATATTTTTCTTAAGAGAAAACCAAAGAGAATTCAGATTATGTAAAGGAAAACACTATTCACAAGTCAATTTTTTCCTAGGACTCAAAATTGTTATAAATATTGTAATTACATTTTTGTACATAGTTTATTACATTATAAATAAATTGAACGTATTTCCACCAAGCCATTACAAATGTTTCTTGTTTCCCTACAATTATATTCTTAAGGATTTTTTATTAGAACAAAAACAATATATCGATGAGGCATCAAGTAAGAAGATACATACAAATTTTTAAATTGCTCAAAAATTCTACAGAAATGAAGCTCTAAACAAAAAAATATTCACAGCATCAGCGTATGTAATTTCTTGTCTTTATGTTTCTAAAGAATTTGTGATTCACGTTAAAACGCAGATACTGGTATCTACATAATTATTATCGTAATGCGAGTCATATTTGTGACGCTCTACAATTTCCTCTATCTTTTAATGAGCTTTCGCTATTCACTTGTGCCATTTGCTGGTGGTAACAGCCCGCCTCTCTGCGCCGAAGCCTAATGCAGCTCGCATTCCTCGTCGTCGGAAGCAAGGGAATAATAAAGACACGCATTTGAACCGCGAATCCAATTTTCCGGGCTGGCCGGGACGGTGGGTCCACCTTAGAACCGCTGGCAGGCGTAAAATTTGCCCGGCCGAAAAGCGTGATGGTTGTAATGGGAGTCTGGATGTTTCGTCGGGCTACCAGGGCCACGCCGAGCCGCACCGCGTCGACCTCCCGGCTAAAGTTCCCGCACCTGTTAAAGCACCGCGCGCCGCACAATGCGAAGCCCTGCGCCAAAACATGCTAACTCCACGCTGAACACCCACCTGCGCGAGCCCATCGCCTGTCCTCTGGTGGCTGCACCTGGTAAATATTGTTTCAAGCAAGTACCATTAAAATGATATTAAAATCGATGAAATCAGAGAAAAGGCATTACAAATGAAGTAAAAAGGTAAAAAATGACTTAATAGTCGAAACAGACGAATAATACAAAAAAAAGCGATTTCGTTTTGTCATAACATAAAAAAAATTTCTATAGTAAACGGGATTGTTATAAAGTGAAAAGAGACAAAAAGAGACATTTTATTAAAATCGGCACCCTAATCATAAATAAAAGTCAATGAATTAACACTAATTTAAGCAACAATAACTTTATTAAAAAGTGCAACCTGCATTATTTTGTATTAGGTTTGAATTCAGTGATCTGTAACACTTTCAATCTATCTTAAAATAAGAAGTGAAAGCTGAGTCCCAAAAGGCGATTAAACATTTAAACTGTTCAGTTTCTTGATTGAAAACTACACATTTTGTAGAAATACAAGATAGTTCAAGATTAGTGAGATGGAGATTTTATGGATAGTTCTTAAAGTAAGAAAATAGAGCTTATTTTATATGAAATTGGACCAAATTAACTTCCAACTAGAAATTAGAAATCAGCAAGTAATGTAAGTAATATGTTGATGCGAAATCGCAAATTCGCATGTATTAAGCGAGCTTAAAAAGAAAAGATCACTTACACACGTGCCACATCACGAGTGTATCCCAATTGCAATCTGCGGTAAACTTTTTCTAATCTTTTTACCTGCCTATCTATCCTGCCCCCTCAAAGACATATCATGAGTGCACTACGGGATGCAATTGGGCAATGCCTCCTGAGTTTGCCAGAAGTTGAAGGCGATGAACTAGGAAGCGGATGTAAGGGAAATCTCGCCACGCGATCTGTGATTCCCTGACTTCACAGCACGGAGCGGTAGGTGTTGTGGAAATGAGCGGGAAGGTGGACTGCAGAGGCATTGAACGAAAGAAAAAGAGAACGGGAAGGGTGGGAAGTCAATGTTGGATGTGCAAGAAGAGACGGAACAAAAAGGTGAGG